TGCTTTAACACCTTGTTCAATATATGCTTCTACATCTTCTCGCTTGGTTATTCCGCTTAATGCTGCCAAAATAACTCCTTCAGGTACCATTTCTGCTAGCTTAGTAGTCGTGCTCATGTCCACATCAAAAGTGTGAAGATTTCGATTATTGACTCCAATTACTTTTGCTCCTAATTTCACTGCTCTTTCCATTTCTTCTTGATTATTAACTTCAACTAAAGGTTCCATACCAAGATATTTAGAAAATTTATATAATGTTGTTAGTTGTTCGTCTGTTAATAAAGCTACTATCAACAATATAGTATCTGCTCCATAAAGTCGTGCTTCCATAATTTGATAAGTATCCACAATGAAATCTTTACGTAAAACGGCTGGACGATTTGGAATAGTTGCTAATACATCACGTACTTGTCGCATGTCATTTAAACTACCCTTGAACCATTTAGTTTCTGTCAATACAGAGATTACCGATGCTCCAGCTCTTGCATATGTTAAAGCTTGTTCTGCGGCATTAACTGATAGATCAATGTTACCTTTACTAGGTGAAGCTCGTTTAACCTCGGCAAATATTGCAGGATACTTTGGTAATGTTTGCTTAATTCTAGAGACAAAATCAATTAATGGATGTGCAATATGAAGGGATAATAATTTCTTGTAATCATAAGGTGATGAACCCGGTTGTTTTTTAGCAATTTCGATATCAGCTAATCGTTGCTTATATATTTTTTCCAAAATTGAGGGAATTGATTTCGTTGGCACTGAATGTTTGGCTAATGGTGCTTTTACACCAAATTCTGGGTTATCTTCCCATTTTCCACCTTTAATTTTCAAGAAATTTTCAAGTATTTTTTTTCCATGTTCTTCACTAAGAATACTTTCTGGATGAAATTGTATACCCTCAATTGTGAATTCGCGATGTCTTACACCCATCAGAACATTAGTTTCACTCCAACTTGTAATTTCTAATTCGTCAGGGATTGATGGAGATTGAGCTGCCAAAGAATGATAACGCGTCGCAGAAATTTCAATTGGTATATCGATATAAACCCCTTTACCATCATGTCTAATAGTTGAGGTTTTCCCATGAACAACTTCACCAGCATATCCGACCTTACCGCCAAATACTTCTACAATACATTGTTCACCAAGACAAACTCCCAAAATCGGAATATTTCCGGCAAAAGATGAAATAGCATCCCGAGAAATTCCTACATCGGATGATGGACTACCTGGACCAGGGGAAATTATTATATTTTTTGGATTAAGTGCTTTGATCTGTTCAACGGTAATTTGATCATTTCTGAAAACTTGAACTTCGGCACCAAGTTCTGAAAGGTATTGATAAATGTTCCATGTAAATGAATCATAATTATCGATTAAAACTGTGAGTGTGGATTTCGTCGGTGATTCCATTTCATATTTTTCAAGCCTTTTGGCGCTAGTTGCATAATATAAAACATAACATAA